ATTAACAAATACACGCTTCAGAATCATATTCATGAATGTTTTTTCACAAGTTTTAAAGTGTTAAGAGAATAATGGTGTGATTTTTTTTTTTTTGCTTAAAAAAAAAAAAGAGGATACAATAATCCTCCATAGGCTGGGCAAAAAGATGTTCAAAAAGAGCTGTGACTTTTAAAAAGGAGGGAAGGGAGTATTGTGCAGTCGTATTGGGGAAGCAGAGTTAAAAGTGTAGGGATAAGAGGTTAAAGAGAAGAGTAAACGTGCATTGTGAGGAATGGAACAAACTAAATCTGGTGAAGGAGCGTCGAAACAAAGAGACGGAGGGGAGGCCACCGTGTGTTTCTCGGCATCTGCTCCTTCCTTTTCAATCTGAATTTAATATTGATCCTTCATAAACAGGCCACGCCCACGCACCCGCTTTTCTTTCTTTCATTCATTCATTCACTAACCTCTACTATTCCTCAACGCATGCATCATGCTCCTCGGATCACAAATAACGCAATTGCTTTTAATTAAACCCAATAAAAACATGCCTCATCAAACCAATAAGATAAATAAAGCCTGCGGCTGCTGAGAAGAACGGACATGGAAAGAAATTAAGCAAGGGGTCTGGGCACGGGGCAGACATAAGAAATCGTCCGAATAACGAACTCGTGGCCCCCACGTGCTGGGGATCTCGTTTCTGCATTTGACGCGCACGTCCATTCACCGTGGTACAGCCAAACCACGGGCCTAGCCAGGGTGTGAGTTGTTAAGCGTGGTTTCTTTTGCTCTGCTATATTTATAATCAATTTTTTATTCCCAAAAAAATAAAAAGTAAATAAAATTAGGGGATCCTTCATCCGACTTTCGACCAAAGTTACATAAGACCATTTCAGATAAATGAAATAAGACAATTAAAGCAATCAATCACAGAATAATAAATAATATGTATTTGTGATTAGGGGAACAATTTCAGCAAAAATAAAATTTTGGGGGGGGGGGATGAGAAGAGGAGGTTCAAGTGGGCGGGGGATGCTCATGCCTTGCTTGGCTGCTGCAACAGCAACAACATTTCGGGAATTTCCTACCCGCCAGGCAACGGCACTCTGATCCCCCTCTTCTCACTTCGCATCTCATCTCACCTGTGACTCATTGAGTTGCGTGCTCTACCCTATGCTCATTGCTCACTCTCCCTAGAGATGGACTCAGACGGACTAGGAGACAAAAATTCGCCACAGCAATGGTCGGCCACATTTATTATTAACAGTCACTGCGATTTAGGACCCACGCACGCCATGGAAACACCTTTGACGTGGCTCGCCGCTGAGCTTTTAGCGGCCCACTTTTCATTGTTGTCAATAATGCATCTTTATCTCTTTGCATATTTCCATCACGACATGTCAGTGTCGTGAAATATCGGAGTTGTGTTGCTGGATATGACTTTATTCGTTGGTTCTTCGCCTGTTCACAGCTTTTTCATAAAGCTAGGGCCGCAGCTAAGAAAAAAGAACAATAACATATACTACTGTTTATTGTCCGCGCACGGAGCTGAAGAACCAAAAGAACAAGGGGTGGGGGTGCGTCTTTAATGGAGACAAAATAGAGAGGCCTGACAATGCTGGAGGCTCAACTTTCACATCCATGCCGCAATGGGCTTCTCCGGCCCATCCTTAGCTGCTGGATTCGCACTTAAAACATCATCCATTGTGTGGTATGGGCCCACTTCGCCCACCACCACGCTCTGTGGGTAATCCAACAATATTTCTCACTGGGCTATGCTGGTCAGCTCTCTTCAAATATGTCCACACTAGACTCATTGACAGGGACGTAAAATTTGAGAAGCTCCTCGCCTCTTGCAGAATGCGAAGCATGCCTGACTGAACACACACAGCGGGGTGAGACTCGTCAACAAAAATACATTTGGGTACGGTCGCCTGGTCAGCGCCGTCCAACCAATCACCTCTTCGCTTTGTGGTGCGGTACGTCGACAACGTTGAGCTGATGCGGCGCCGTGTTGTTTTGAGCACAACGGATCAGCGTCTAATATTCATTCCGTCGTTCACGGCACTTGCTGCCGAAGCGTTTCCTCACTCCGACGAGTGGTGGAGTGGAGTCAGCAGACATTTGACTGGCTTTAGCGCCGCTTCGACGGTCGCATGAGAAGATCACAGCCTCCTTCAGTCTAATCTAATTTTGGGAAATGGTTTTACTTCCTACCCCTTAACGCTCGCAGTAAAGCCCAAGAGCAGCTTTCAACATGCACCTTCAAACAGCAGCGTTTGGTTATCAGATCTCACATGTGATAACACACCCCACCCCACCCCCAAAAAAGAAAAGAAAAGAAAAGTAAACAACAAAAAACACAAGTACACCTTTCCTGACAACAGCATGTGCTCCCTCATCTGGAAAAAAAGAAATATCATCGCTTTCAGGAAGTGATGGAGATTCGTGGTTAATTATAATACGGACTCTGCATTTTAAATTTGGAGGGAGAAAAATGCCCATTTTAGATATGGACAACTCCGCGCACGGTAAAAATAATTTCGAATTTACGAGATGAGAGGTTTTTCTTGAACCAAGTGACGATTTGAAGGATAGGCGCAGTCAATTATAGGTTACGAAAGGAAGGGTAAACCTTCCCACCCTCGTCCCTAGCTACTCCAAAATATTAATTGAAGGTTATACGCTGGCTGCCTAATTAATTTACTAACTTGCTGTGCCATAATTTCTTTCTTTGTCGGGCTTTAATGATCTCTGATGTGGTTGGAAATTTGGGATGCTGATTTTTCTGATTAATGGGTAAAAAAAAACACGGGAATGCTGTTCTGGGATGCCTCTTGTTTTCCTTCTTTTATAATATTTTCTGCGAGTGCAGTATTGCATCCTGAGCACCACGCAATTCCCGCACGGCCAAATCCATAATAAAACTTGCTCTCTGCCCAAAAACAGGCATGCAAATTGGTGAAAACGATGTTTCCATATGTTGCACGCATATTTAAAATCCAAGAACATAAAAAAAAATAAAGTTAAGAAAGTTGTGTATGTGAAAAAATAAATAAAAGATAAGAAAGAGATCAGAAAAATTAAAAATAAGGGAGGCCTGCCGGAATAGGTTTGAGATTTATTTTGTAGGAGAGAAAAATAAAAATAATAATAAATAGAATCAAATGCTTTCTCATGTTTGGAGTGATTAAATTTAAATGTAAATAAGAGGGAGTGCAAAAATGTTCCCAAGTCCAGAAAGCCCCGGTTAAGACCGTAACGACCAATCCTCTTTTTTTTTTTTTTTCACCAACTCTTATTTTTATATTTTTGAACTTCATGGGGAAAAAAAGGACGTGCCCAGGTGTGAGAATATTGTAGAATAAACTACTACTATGTAAGAATTCTATCAAATTCGTAATAATAATAATAATAATAATAATAATAATAATAATAATAAGAACGTCTCTCGTCAACACCCTTTCTTATTTTATCATTTTAATTACGTTAATTTGTGAGCTAAAGCTTTTGAATGTAAGCTGGGTTATGGTGGCGTTCATGATTCGAACTCCCTAAAATACACTTTACCAGTTTATCTAGAGGGCAGCGAGATTAGAAATACAAAGATACGTTGCCTGCATTGTCAAAAATAGGGCTTTTTTTTAATTATTTAAATGAATATCTCTTACTCTGTGTTAAGTGACGTGCATTCCAGGCGACATCAATCCTTGAAATTTACCTCACTTTCTGTATTTCGAATATTTTGTTTCTATGCGCGTACGTTACTTACAGGCCGATCCCTCCCCCATCCTTAAACCTCGTTTCTTCATCTGCCGGGCCTGTCAAAGAAGGAGTAAGTTTCGGTGCTCATCGTTTTGATGACCATCATAAACTCATCAAATTTAAATGTTTATATCTGATTTGAACAGTTTAGATTTAAACGGTTTAAATTTAAAATATTTAATTAATTATTTTAAAAAAGAAAACTATTTTTTGAAAGAATGATAGTTAAAAGATCATCACTATTTTAGATTCTATACATATTAAAATAATTATTTTGAATAAATAAAAATAAAAAAGAAATCAAATTTGAACCATATAAATGAGATATAGATGATTCAGATCTGATGAGCTTATGTGCTTATCAAATGGATGAGCATCGAAACTGATTCGTCAAAGAATGCTTCCTTAGTCTTGGACCAATCACTGGTCATTGACTACTCAATGTATTCGTCAATAATAGAATTTAGAATCAGAATCCTGCACTCTTCTCCCCCCCCCCTTCTTTGCCCCTGTTGGTCTGCCTGGATACAACTTCGCCAAGATAAAGTGGAAATATAGAAGAAATGAGGTCCTCGAAATGAAAATCGCCGTGTTTTGCACCCAAAAAAAAAAAACCTATGGTTGCAAATGGGAACATTTGCTTTGAAGGTAAGGAGGGGACTGATTCGTTGAAATGGGAAGAAAAGAACGGTTGACCAGCCTGAAATATTATTATGTCATAGAATTACAGGTACTTCATCAGTGGATCGAGTGGGAAGACGGGTAGCATAAAGGAGATTGTTCCTTTTACTTTGTCTGGTGTCTCCGTATATTATATTCCCCGGAACAGCCTAGCCCAGTGCTACAGGTTGTTGTGCTAACAAATTAAAACAGATTCCAATCTTGGGCTTCGAATTGAGACCGCAGACGAAGGAAAGGATCCGGAGCACGCCGGTTGATAAATCAATCAGGGAAGAGTGCATAATTGCCAAGTGGAGGAGGGAATAAAATTGGGGGGTGAGTGGAGACAAACTGGAATCAAGTGTAAACAGAAGAAATAAGAGAACTTTGCTTTGCTTTCACGTGGGCTGGTGTCATTATAACTCCCACAACGGCTTCCATCATTGCTACCTCCATCCACCCAAACCATCATTTTCCAATATTTTATACACCGCAGCATAAATATTAATATTATTTCGTACATATTCCATCAATATGGTTCTCTGTGTATGTTTGTGTATATATATTTATACAACAATAATAATGGACATGAGACATTTTAATTTCAAATTTCTCTACAATTTCATTAATTTCCAAAACGCCACCAATCAAATAAAGTCACTAATTTACAAAAGTCACCCCCTTCATCGGCGCTAATCCCACAGTTACATCAACATAAGCGGTCACCTTTTCTCAATTAGGGAAAGCAATGTCTCAGTGTACACAGCCTCCAGTCTTCGCTCCGATTCCAAGCCGGGACGACTCCGTGTGCTCCACGTATCTGCCATCTCCTCAGCTTCCTCCGCAGCATCATGTATAAGCTTCACTCCCCTCTGCTCCCCCGCCCGAGGGACCGACTCAGTCATTACCAAAACAATGACCCGGCCCAAGACAAAGGTCCTAAGGTATATTTACTGCTACTTGCCAAATCCTACGGCCTATCACTCGGCCGCGAAGACTACCACCGGTACTGGGGCTTGATCCGGCCTCGTAGTGGCTTTCTCCAGTTTCCGACCTACCAGATCGTTTTTTCGGCGAAACCATGAAGTAACGGTCGAGATTCGGCCCAAACCTCCAGATTGCTCCTCATTCCCACGAGGCAGTGCCTATGAAGTTCCTCCGTATTCGCAAATCGGGCTGACCTCCCTGACTCCGACCGCGAAATATACCCAAGAACCTCTTCGAACACGGCTTCGTCGCAAGGAATCGCCAGGGGCCCATGATTAGAGAAACCGTACTCCTCCTCGGCTTGAACCAGAAGCTTCTTGAACACAGGATGGTTCAGGTAGGAAGCGCGCACCACAAATCTCCTGGAGTTGTTGCCCACGCACACGGCCACGTGTCCGGCAGGCACATCAGAGGGTATGCGTCTGGCCGACATGCGGGCCTTGTTGCGCCACTGTCGCAGCATCTGGCGCAGCCTAACAATGTGGCGGATTTTGCTGCATTTTCCGAGTCCGGCAGACATTTTCCCTAGAAAGTGATCGTCAGCAGCAGCTAGCAGCGCTTTGGTGTCTCGGGCTGCTCTGCGTATGGGAGAAGGAAATAAAAAAAATTGGGGGGATTGGAAGAAGTGAAAGACCCGCGGCTTTATAGGGGCAAAGCCTCGAAAGTACCCGTGAACTTTCCCATAATTACAAGACGCCGCTTACCGCTTCTGTCATATTCAAGGGCTGTGATTTGTAGATCATGGCCTCTTGGGACAAGTACTGTTCTAGTGGACCCACCTTCTTTGTGAAATTACGGGCTCTTTTTTTCTTTTTTGAAAAAAAAAATATTTAGCCTGATTTGCTGACCCTAGAACTGATATTTTAGTAAGCAGACAGCAAGTTATTTTAATAGAAAGACTGGTTTTTTATTATAAATTTATTGTTCATCATCTCAAATAATAACATTCTATCTGGTTCAAAAAAAATGCAAGCTCAAATCAATTGAAAAAAAGTCTACGCATTTTATAAATATTATTTTAATGCCAATAAGATGGTTATAAGATCGTTGTGAGAAACGTGAGAAGTGGCGTTAAAATTTACATGATGACATTATGGTCTTTTGATGTCCTGAAAACTTTATCACATAGCTAAAATACGCACATACATAGTATTTGGTGAGATTTTGCGAGCATGCCGGACATCCTAAGAATCTCGCATGTTGCAAAATAAGCTGACTTTAGACGATTAATTCACCTTGACTTGAGGTTCTTTACCCCAAAATTTCATGAGCTATATAGAGGGGGAAAAATATAGAATTTGACATAAATTGAGGAACTAAGAACTGAATTGAAATAAACTTTAATTAAAAAATGGGTATATGATGTGGGAATTGAAAATAAAGAAAGTGATCTGCCATAATTTGAAGGGAAGTATTGCATTTTTTATCACCCTCATCTTTCTCCTGATTTGAGATGAATGGTTATGAAGGGGAGCTTTTCTTGTTTGTTGTAATTTTTATTTTGTTTTCCCCTTATTGAGGTAACAATATTCTTTGTTTTTTTTGTCAAAGAGGTAATGATATTCAGTTTTCACTAAAAAAAAAAATAGAAAGGCCGGTGAAATGGAGAATATGCCGAACGGTTAAATACAGCTGATTGAAAAAATAAAGAAAATGGCAGGGTACCTGAGCTGAATGTAAGTAAGGGCCACGTAGGAAGTCTGAAGAAGAACAGGATGTTGGGCAGCGTAACAAGTTGAGCAGGTGAGGGTAGCGGATGATAGAGAAGGGGGTTCTTTGTTTTATGTTTTATGGTGATGCATACAAGTTAAGTTATTTATAAATATGTTCTAAGTAAATTAAAATAAAATTATATTCACATATTTATCTCGTATTTTGTAAATTATGATCGAAATACTACTTATGAGTTATTCTAAATAGGTCGGGAAATACTGTGAAGCATGAATTCCCAAATTCACAATACTTCACCAATTGAATGATTGAAAACCAATCAACAATCAACATCTTCGTGTCATATTGCCAATATTATCAATCAATCAATCAACTTTATTTTTAAAATATTATAATATCCTATTTGGTCTGAAAATGGACCGAGTATAAAATTATGGGATCCAAATATATCCAATTAATGAGATTTAAATAATACCTCGACTGAAATTTGAATAGATTGAATTAAATGAAAAACATTATAAATAAATGCAATTTCAAATGGCAGCTTAAATAAATAAGTTAATAATTAATTTTGACTTTGAATAATATCTTAACTAAAATTTGAATATATTAAAATAAATGGAGTATCATAATTAACTAGTATGTCAATTGGAGGCTTAAATAGAGAAATAAATAAATAATTTCAAAATTTCATCTATTCCCTATAAATTATGCATCCCTGATTCAAATTTCATTAAAATGAATTAAAAAATATACTCATATCAAAAGTAAATCTTCAGCTATCTTAAATAATACAATTTATTAAAATTTTAAATCTAATTAAATACACTAATCCGTCTGTAGGCAGAAAATTTGCTAGTTAATTACCAAAACACAAATATAGTAAGCACGTATTCTTTGAAAATTGACTTTCTAGGCGCCTCTCCCGTGGACCAATGAAACTTTTGGGGTGATTGATATTTGATACTCCTCCGGCCTTTAATATAGGACCCATTTATCATATTTATTAATTTTCTTTAAATTATCTCTATAAATACTTCCTTAACCATAATCAGGTAGAAGAGAAAGAAGGGGTATTAAGAAAGATGATCATGGTGTTTTGAGAAAAGTATGTCATTTTTCTTATAATTAACTAACTTACCTAATTTCCTTAATTTAATCAAATTAGTTAAATGGGTCTTATATTAAGGATCGGAGGAGTATTATATAAAAATGAATGTCGTTTACCTTGTCATCATTTAATCTATAACTACTGCGATTCAATATGCAACAATAAGCAGTGCCGCGTAACAAGGAACGGTGAGTGAACGTAGAAAAGGGTGAAGAGCGGCAACTGGATGCAGACTCACATCACCACCTGCCTCCCCTCTACGTTGGCAAGGAAGCATCGAATTTGATTTTAAATATAAAATTTTAGTTAACTTCATCTTTTTATGTTTCTTAATTTTTAAAACTAATTTGTATATACAATAAGTAATCTATTTAATCCCTCTAGTAGATTTAAATTACACTTGATCTTAGCTAAAAGGCTGAGAAAGGTATTCTAGTACATTTAAATTAAGCAGTGGTTATGTTAAAAATAGGACGGATTAATTAAAAAAAAATTTAAAAAAGGAGAAGAAAAGCAAAGCCGTTTCCAACTAACCCCCATGTGCCTGCCCGGCCCCTCACTGCCTCCTTTCCCTAAACGACAAACCGGCGAAACCTCTCACGCACGCGGCACTCATGTGACGGTTCAGATCATTGATCAATCCTCCTCAACATTTCCTCTTCACAGCAGCAGGTTTGAAGTACTCGTACTCTGCATGTGTGCGCATCACTGCTGAATCAGGAGGGATGGAGGGTGGATTGGGAACGGAGGGGTCCACATTCCATGTTGTTGGGATTTAGGGCGGATCACGCTTATTTTCCCTAATCGTCACCCAGTGGAGGCATATCCGGAGCAACTCTCCTATTCACATTAATTAATGTAATCCACTAGTTAAAAACAAGACTTCAATGATCTCATGTCCCTGGAACCATGAATGTAACCATAAATTGGTTTATGCTTGGCTTCAATCCGGGGCTTTAATTAAACTGAATTATTGCATATCGTTTGTTGGGAGTTGGGACACAAATTTTAATTTGTAGCAACATACGAAGAATGTATGGTGCATCTCTGTCCATCAGTTTTGTTGCGTCATCTCAAATCAGTTTTCCCTCTCCCTGCTTAGATTATGTGAAAGTCTAATTATTATTATATAAGTTTTATACACAGCTCCAGAATTTTCTCGTGCTGACAAAATTATGGAAGCCAGTCACCAAAAAAACAAAATTACGGAGGCCTTGTTCTGGGTAGACTATAATTCTAACGGCTGAGAAATGAGAACGATGCTCTTCCCCTTTTTCAGGAAAGAAGAACGAAAGTTGGCACAACTTCATGGGGGTAGGCTTAGGTCAAAAGAAGTTACCATGGGGAGGCATGGAAGGGTAATTAAGGAATCAGAGAGAATTCCCATCTTGCGGTGGTGCGGGTGGTGGCCACCCCGTCCCGCGTCCACGTTGATGTTGTTGCTGGCCAACACTAGAGGACAATCGACGTCACCCCCCTCCCCGGCTGACATGGCACCGCCCACACATCCTGCTTTTCCTTTACACGCATCCCCCACTCACACTTTCCCATGTGTTTTTTTATAACTCGTTTAAAACTTTTCTTGCCTACTTTTTTTGTTTTAAAACTAATGCATTTAAGTTGTATTGTTCATCATGCAATCAATGGCCTTTAGGAACTGTATATACTATTTTTATAAAAATTAGTTAGCTAATTTAAATAGATTAATAAAATCTATTAAATTAGTTATTGGTAATAAATAAGTGTTTTTTTTAAATATTCTTACTAATTATGTGCATTAGTTATAACTACCATTTCACAGGACATTTAAAATATATAACTATTATAAAAATTACTTTAAAAAATAAATTAAAAAACAATAAATTATAACATCATATTTAAAATTAAATTAATTTTTATATTAAAAATCAGAGTTAGTATTAATCTGCATAAATGAAATATACATCATACGTGGGGGCAAATGAAATTAAAAAAAAGACTGCGGTGGGTCTGAGGGGCCCGGTCAAAGGGGAAAAGGCCAAAGAGAGTGGCGCTTTTGGGGCAAAAGTCGTTCGCCTTGGGGTTCGCTTCGTTGTACTCGCAGCGTCACGGACGGACACCGCCATCCTCCTTCTACTTTTTTGTACGGCCCAGCTCCATGCTGTAACTTTTTTTATTCTCATGACATATAATCATCGTATTAATTTGAATTTTTGTGGTTTAACGCAGATCTCACGAGTCATAATGCTCTTTTGATTTCTGTGGGCCCCTTAAGATTAACCACAAAGACGGGGCTCCGCGTGGGGAATAAAGGCGGGAGCAGATGAAATTTCGGCACGGGAGCGAGAGAACGAAAATGGAGGCTGTGGGGCCCACTAGGAGGTGGATGGTCGGGTTAATTTCGGTGGGCCCCCTGAGATTAAAAGGAGGAACAAAGGAAGAGCGGGGCAAAATTTTAGAAATGGGGCACATCAAATTAATAAATTCCCGTCCCCTAGCGTTAAGTTTCAGTGTTTACATCTTTAATATGGCGAGCCATAATCAAATCACCTCCTTTTATTTGTTTCCATTTTACTCTCCCCTGATCTTCTTACCTGCATGTTGTGTGAAGTCCGACACAGGGGGTAAGAAATATAATCAACGTGTGAATTTTTTTAACTTCTCTAATACATACGTTTTTCATTTCTTTTCAAACTGGCGGATAATATACGGATGATTTTTCCGGAAGCGATATTGTAAGAGAAACGGATGTATACAGATCAGGAAGGGACCAGATAACCAGGTGACGGTTTAACTAACTATATAAATTCTCTACCGGACATATATT